TACCCCCATGCATGCCTGTCACTCCCAGCTGCTGTTGGCTGATCGCTATGTAGCTGCTCAGTAGCAGTTGTGGCAGGGACCTAGGGAAGGTGCAGCAAAGAAAAGGCAGCTAGTCTCCTCTGTAGCCCCCATTCCATGCAGCCCCAGCAGAGGGGCTACCACAGGGTCCCAGGAAGAGAGGGGGGAATTGTACTGGGGGCACAGCACTCCCAGAATCTTACAGGCAGATGGAGAGCCACCCCGAGAAGGATAAATGGGGGAGAGAAAAACAGCTCCAGCTCTTACATATACGGGTTAAAAATTTACCTATAACTGTAAGAGTGCCCATAGTAGTCATTCAGGTTTCATCCCAATCCTAAACTCATCCTGAAAATGCTTAACAGACTTGGGACAAACAATGAGGAAGCTTAAGGCTTCCTTCATGTCATATCAGGAATTCGGTGATAAAATACTAGGGATGATGAAGCACAGAAATAAGATGAAAGATCTCATTTGTAGAGTGATATGTTAGCTAAATGTAGCTTTTATCCGTAATCATACGTGCATTGTAACGAATGCTTTCAAGTGAATTTTGGAAGCAATATAACCCTATACATTTCAGTAGGTCTTACTGGCCAGGTCTGGAGCGGTTGCGCTATTTGATCTTTGCTTTGGTATTCCTGCCTAGGTTCCACCTCTCCACTGAATTCAGTCTTTGAAAGTCCTGTAAGAAATTCTTATTCAGCTTCCCTTAAAAGCTTTGTAGTTCAAGAGTGCCATCTTGAGGTATACTATGTTTCTGAGCAATTCTATTAATTGAATGAACCTTTGTAATGCTTTTGAAACTGTTAGAGAGAAAAACACAAAGTTCTCAAACCCTTAAATATGGTGGCATTTAAAAAACAGCATGAAATAGAACCAAAATACAGATTGTCTGGCTCTGCTCAGTCGTGTATAATGACAAATTATCTACTTAAAAATATCATTCTTGGCCAAAAGTGAGGAGCAATACTGAGTGCTCCGTTTTGGGGTATTCTACTTGAGATGCCTTAAAGCTGCCTGATTTTCAACAAGTTCTAGTCCCTACTCTCTGAAAATCCAATCTGACCCCTTCAAGTTAAGCATCCAAAATCACTCCTCACTTCTGAAAATCTTAGCCCTTGCCTTTAAGAAGAGGATGTGTCTTTTTTCTGGCTTTGACTTCAAAGATAACACTAGCAATAACAAAAGATACCAAACCAAAGTCACACACACCTTTTGAAAAATAAATATTTAAAACATTAAAGTGAAATATATTGCATTACATGATCTGTGTTTGTTAAAGTAAAGGAAGAGCTTTCAGGGTATAAACTGATGCAGGTAGGTAGAAAAGAATTTTCCTTCGGCAGCATTGTCGAGACATTAGTTATTGACTATTTCAGGACACTGATGAACAGTGTGGTATTATAAATAATACTTAAGATGTGTGACTACACTGCAGTTAGACCACTCTTTGTTCTTCCTGTTACAACTGCCAGCTGGCAGTTGGTTTGGGATAGGGTGTGTACCAAGCTGTGGCAGAAATAAAATGCACAAAAGGGATGAGGGGCCACAGGAAACCAGGGGCCCTCATCAAATGTATACTGGCAGCACCACAAACAAGAAACTAACATTGAATTAGAATGTCTCCTACACTGCAGAGCAACCAAGAAGTTATCAAGATTCTGAAATCTTTATACATGAGTTATTCCCCACCCCCAGAAAGCGTAAGGAAGACTTACGAACTTTTTAGTTAACTACATGGGAAATCCCAGAAACATTACAGTTAAATTAAGATCTAGGAAAAAAAGTAATCTGCTCCCAGCCAGGTGATAACAATTCTAAGGGAAAAAGCGATATTTGTTTTTTAATACAATAGCTGGCTGTAAGAGAAGATACTTTATTGGCCATTTCTAGTTCAGGGAGCAATGACACAGGCGATGTTAAAGAACACACATCTTTAAAAGTCTCTGTACTGTGACCAGGACTGAGTGGGTATCACAGACTGATGTGTAGTTGTAGCCGTGTCAGCCCCAGGATATGGGAGAGACAAGGTGGGTGAGGTAATATCTTTTATTGGACCAACTTCTCTTGATGAGACACACAAGCTTTTGAGTCACACAGCTCTTCTTCGGGCTTGAATGCTTGTCTCTCTCACCAACAGAAGTTGGTCCAATAAAAATATTAGTATTACCCTCGCCCACCTTGTCTCTCAGAGACTGAAGTCTCTTGAAAGTCAATACGTTGCTTCTAAACTGCATATTTTATCAAAGGGGTTGGAACAAGCCTCCAATGCTTGGGCAAGCTCATCTTTCTGAACACCTCTATGCTCAACACAAAACAGCACAGTAACAAGGTAATTTGTTAATACTAATTGAAGAATATTCACAATGATTTAAGTAATAGGTTTAGTGTTGAGTGATAACCATACTCAAGGGACTTGGAGAAAGATAAGACAGTTACCTTTTCCATAACTGGTGTTCTTCGAGATGTGTTGCTCATGTCTATTCCACAATAGGTGTGCGTGCTCACCTCATGCCGGAAGTTTTGTCCCCTAGCAGTACCCATGGGGGGGGGAGCGCCCCCTGCAACTCCTGGAGTGGCACCTGCCTGGCGCAGTATAAGGAGAGCTGTGCGCTCCCCGCACCCTCAGTTCCTTCTTGCCAGACAACTCCAGCAGCAGGGAAGGAGGGCGGGATGTGGAATAGACATGAGCAACACATCTCGAAGAACACCAGTTATGGAAAAGGTAACTGTCTTTTCTTCTTCGAGTGATTGCTCATTTGTATTCCACAGTAGGTGATTCCAAGCTGTATCTGCTGGAGGTGGGTATGAGTTCACAAGTTCTCGGGACGGAATACCACCCTGCCAAACCTGGTGTCATTCCTCGTTTGGGAGACTATCGCATAATGCAAGGTGAACATGTGATCCGAAGACGATGTGGCGGCCCTACAGATGTCCTGAATGGGGACATGGGCCACAAAGGCAGCCAACGAGGCCTGTGCCCACGTCGAGTGTGCCCTAACAACAGGCGGCAGGGGAACACCCTCTAGCTCATAACAGAAATGGATGCACAAAGCGATCCAGTTGGACAGCCGTTGAGTGGAAATCGGCTGGCCTCTTGCACGCTCAGCCATGGCGACACACAGCTGTGAGGACTTTCTGAATGGCTTGGTTCGCTTGAGAAAGCCAGAGCCCACCTCACATCGAGCTTGTGGAGGTGGCGTTCCTCATTAGTCATGTGAGGATTGGGGCAAAGGACTGGTAGAAAAATGTCCTGACTCATGTGGTAGGCGGAGACCACCTTCGGGAGGAACGCGGGGTGTGGGCAGAGCTGGACCTTGTCCTTATGAAACATGGTATACGGTGGCTCGGAGGTCAGGGCCCTGAGCTCCGAGACCCACCTGGATGACGTGATAGCAACCAGGAAGGTCACCTTCCATGAGAGGTGAGACCAGGAGCACGTGGCCAGCGGCTCAAACGAGGGCCCCGTAAGTCGAGCCAGCACCAGATTCAGGTCCCACTGTGGGACCAGGGGCTTAGAATGCGGGTAAAGCCAGTCCAAACCCTTAAGAAACTGGCCAGTCACAGCATGGGAGAACACCGTGTGTCCTTGCACTGGGAGATGGAAAGCTGATACGGCTGCCAGATGCACCCTGACCGAAGAGGGTGCCAGGCCCTTGGCCCTCAGGCAGAGGAGGTAATCGAGAATAAGCTGGATCGGGGCAGTCATTAGGGATACACCTTGGTCCATCGCACACCTAGCACGGCGAGTGGACGGCCGTCTACTCTCAAGGAGGACACGCTGAACCAGAGCTGAACATGTCCTCTCCTCGCCACCTAGCCACTGAGCAGCCACGCCGTGAGGTGGAGAGCTGCCAGGTTGGGGTGGAGGAGAGGGCGCCGGTCCTGAGAGAGCAGATCCTGGCGGAGCAGCAATGGCCACCGCCAGGCCCAAGAGGGTCCCGTACCAGTGCTGCCTGGGCCACACCGGGGCAATGAGGAGGACCTTGGCCTTGTCCGTCTTTATTTTCTCTAGGACCCAAGTGTATAGGAGGTGGCCTGACCAGGGCAGGATAAAGGCATCTGAGATAGCGCCCCTCCCCAGGCCCCCTCTGGAGCAGAACCGGGGGCATCGATGGTTCTGACGGGTCGCGAATAGGTCCACCTGGGGAGTTCCCCTCCTCCGGAAAAGCTGAAGGGCCACTTCCGGGTGTAGGGACCACTCGTGCTGAGAGGAAAAGTCCCTGCTCAAGCGATCCGCCCTCACGTTCCGGGT